AATGGGATTTGTACTCCATAGTCACTTCAAAGTACTATATTGCAGTCAGTTAGGCTGGAGGAAATATGAGAGCCTCCGGATTTCATCACCTCCTCAGTTAATTGACTGAAAACCTCTCCATAGACGAAAATGCTGTCCCTCACTAAATGTGAGTGTGATGTTTATTTCTTTTAAAATATTTTAAATACAAGTCCATATATAAACTCCTTTGTGAGAACTAAGGGAGAATGTCTCTCCTAAGACAATGCCTGCTGTGTCACTGATGAATCATCTGCAAATAACAAAAGGATGCTTTTTTTTTTTTAAACAATCAGGCTTTTCCCATAGGTAAATCCATGCAAACGATTCTATCAAAATCAAATCAAATCCATATAAACAATCACATGAGGTATCTTTTTAGCATGAGAGCCCTACTAGGAACTATTTCTTTTTCATGCTTCCAAGATTTGACTCATTTTTTCTAGACTATTACCGGCTACCAGCTTTACCTAATAGACAGGAGAAAATGTTCTTGCTATTTGCTTTCACCTCCTGTGTCAGTGCTGGGGCCATGAATGGTTTTATTGAAAACTGGATGTAGGCTCAAGGTCCTTGAGATCAGCAGCTTGCCTTACAACCTGGAGCCTGAGGAAAATCAAGCAAAGGACACTGCACTGTTGACTAGCTTCCTACAAGTTAGAAACCAGAGATGGCCAACCAGGCTTCATAGCTGCCAGTCAAGTGCTATAGTTACTGTTGAAGATCTGTACTCCTGTGTTGCCCTGTGTTTCCCAACCTACACTCCCCAGATATTGTTGGACTGCACCTCCCCCTGTCCTGAGCAAGCATGCAGAAGGCTCAGGGATTTTGAGACTTGCAATACAAGAACACCAGGGGACCACTTCTAGACTTAGCCAAGGCATTGCTGGTTCAAGTCCTGGAACTCTGATGCCCCAGGGGGAGTGTCATTGTTCTTCCTTTAGCAGCTGATAAAAATGATGCTTGCCTACAATTACTCTCTAGCCCACTCTGCAATCCACACAAGGAGGCCAAAAAGGGCAAGTCGGTATTATTGCCCTTAGAGAGCAAAGTACAATAGTGCAATGCAGTAGTGCTCCAATTGCATAGTATTGCAATATTTTTCTATCTATCTAATTCATCTAGCTAGAGATGTATTCATTTTATTCTGTTTTATTTCTATGCTGCCTGAGGGTTCGCTGGGTGGCTTACAAGATGCTAAACCATCATATAAGAGTGCAATATGAGGATGGAACAAGAGTGGCTTTTCTAAGGGACCTCCAAAGCCCCTTCTAACAATACAATTCATTCACCAAACAACCCTACAAGAGACAGTGAAAGGTCCAAAGCTTTCCAAAAAGCTTTACCTCTGCAGGGCTCTGAATCCGGATCTCCACAACTAAACTCCAATCCACATGCCACACTGGATTTTTCTTGAGAGTAACGGTGCAAACCTGAACATGTCTACGCAGATATAAATACCCCTGTTGAATGGGATTTATCCCCAGGTGTAGAATTACAATCTGAATCCCATAGAACCCAGTGAGATTTACTCCTAAGGAAACTTGTATGTCTGGTTTGGGAAGCAATGTTCCCCCAGGTGCTCTTGAATTCCAGCTCCCAACCTCCCCAGACAGCATGGTTAACAGCTGGAAATGATGGAAGTCAGATTCCAGCAATATTGGGCAGGCTACAGTTTTCCCACTCCTGATGTACAAGATGAGGCTGCAGAGAGTCTTTGGTTTCTTCTTGACAGCAAATAGCATTGACAGAAGTGATTTAATGCCCATCCAAGTCATTCAACACGTACAAGAAACATGTGGAACCATTCTGACACAGGCTTCCTAACCTTGTCAAAATACCCATGGTTTTATTTGAAAAACTTTAGATATTTCATTTTGAGGGAACCCCTCTCCAGCTGAAAAAAGATTCTCCAAACGTTTCTTTAGGTGATCATTCCAGTGGCAAGCCTAGCCCATGTCAAATTGCAGTTCTAGCTGTTGCACACAGATGGAGTCCTGTGAATTGATACTAAATTGCAGTGCTACCATTTCAAGCTTCCTATAGCTGGGATGAACTACCTTGTCTCCCAAAGGACTAAGATAAAGGCAGCATGGTAGACATCAAAGAGACAGTCACAAAGAAGCTTAAGCTGTGTAGTCATTATCCTTGGCCTTTTGTCACAGGTCAAGAATCATAAAAGAGAGAGAATGAGAGAGTAAATAGGTGCTCCAAAGGAGGGTAAAACCATATTACAGCTCTGGGGAAGGGGGTAGTATCTTCCTATCTTTATATACGTCAAATCCCACTGAAAATAGAGCTGCCTTCAGTGAAGAGTGGGTGGGAGACAAAGAGACTTTAGAATGCCTCAATTAAGCAGAGAGCTGACTGACGTAAAGATTTTGAGCCCTGGAAGTATTACCAGTTCCTGCACAGAAAATAAGACCTTTACTTGGGACACAAACCAGCAAATCCACAACCTGAAGCTATGCAAGATTGCCTTGGCCACCTATGCATTGCGAGAAAGGCTGTGACAAGGTGACTTGTGTTCTGACTGGTCACTGCAGCCATTCTCTGCTGATGGGCAACTTCAAGGACCCTGCTGGCATTGCCTCCTTTTCTTTGTTTAACTTTAAACCAGACTTGGAAGGCCAGCTCTTCAAAAGTAGGGCTGTAAGCAGCAAAGGCATTCTACTTTTCTTTAGCTAGAGAAGGGACTTCTTCAAGGACAGAGATGGCCACAGAGATGTTTCTGTGGATGTGTCTGGAGAATGATCAGACTGGGCATTAATGCCCAGAATCTTTGGGCAGCCAAAGACTGGGACCCCAGCATCTTCACAAAGCCCACCACCCCTGATGTCTCCCTGGGCTGCCATGCTGGGCAGCTACAAACTACCATCAAAAATATCTCACAATGTCCCAGACAACACAACACAGTGATGTTGTAGGACACTGTGAGAAAGGTTAATGGGTAACTTCCCAGCTTCACTGTCTCCAGGGCCCTTGTGCAAGGCACTTTCAATGCACCCACTCATCAGAGAAAGCCCTCCTCCTCCCTTGTCAGTAGTTGCTGTTACTCCACATCTTCTTCCTCATCATTGCTACCATTTATCTCCTTGACAGGCAGAGAACCAGTCAGCAAGCAGGCCGTGGCATTTGCTGCTCCTCCTCCTCATCCACTCCATTGGTTCAGTCAAAGTGA